TTTCTTTTTCTAATCAAACTTCTAACTTATTTGTTTTATTTTTGTATTATAACATATTTTAGGCATTAATGTTTAACTTTTCTATTTTTAATTTAAAATGAATATTTATTAGTTTATTAAATATAATGTGTTAGTTACTGACATGAGTTTTGTGTTATACTAAAATGAGTATAGTGAAAAATAAATATGCATGGGTAAATATTATAAAAATAACTCAATCCCAATTATATTTGTAATTCGAGAACAAAAGATTATATATTATTTTTAATATAAAATTACTATATTTGTGATTATATGTGCACAAATGAGTATTTGAACACATTAGAGAATTCAAATGAGCTTTTGAATTTTTTGTGCTCATTTTGTAAATTACGTATGGTCATCTGGTACTGGTTTTATGCTCATTTTATAGATACGGGAGCAGATACAATGATACTGAATTACATGTTTCTAATACTCAATACAAGATGTGTGATGTGTTCAATGAAAATGTCTTGATGCTCACGTAAAAATACTTATAATTTTCATAACAATGCTCATTTTATAAGTTATTTATGCTTAACAGGTACTCATGTTATGCTCATTTTTAAAATGTCATATCAATGCTCATTTTCGTTGATTGTAGACACGAGAGTAGAGATTATGATACTCAATTACATGCTTCTAATACTCAATGGAAAAGCTTGATGTTCAATGAATATGTCTTGATGATCAACTAACAAAGCTTATTATTTTCAAATGAGCATACATAAATGAATAAATATATTTGAACATATATGCTCATTTTGTAGGTTACGTATGCTCAACTGGTATTAGTTTTATGCTCATTCTAAAATGGCATATATCAATGCATATTTCAAAACTATCACATTACATGAGAGGTTACTATAGACACGAGAGGAGAGCTCATGATAGTCAATTGCACGCTTTTAATACTCAAGAGAGAGGTGTTGATGCTCAATGAAAAATGTTTGATGCTCAACTAAAGATGCTTATTGTTTTCATATCAATGCTCATTTTGTAAATTACATATGATCAATTGATACTGATGTTATGCTCATTTTTAAAATATCATATCAATGCATATTTCAAAAGTATTATATTACATTAGATTCACATATTGAACATCATAGAAATTGATAATAGATATTTTTAATAAGTTTTTATAAAAGAAAAAAAAAGTGAATTAGAAGATATGATGCAGATATTATGATGCTCAATCTTAGACTCCTAATAATCAACAGAATAGGTCTAGCGCTAATTAAAAGTTCATCAATGCTCATTTAACATAAACCATTATTTTCATCACAATATAGGAAGTTTGATGCTCAATGGAAATGTCATAACTCCCAACTAACAAACCTTACGATTTTCATATTTATGCACATTTTGAAAGTTGTGTATGCTCATTTGATACTGATATCATGCTCATTTTTAAAATGACATATCAATGCATATTTCGAAAGTATCATACTACATTAAATTCGCATATTGAAGTCTATAGAAGTTGATTATAGATATAATTTAATGAGTTTTTGTAAAAGACAAAATAAGAAAAAAAAGTGAATTACAATATATGAAATTGATATCACAATACTCATTATTCGACTCTTAATACTCAGTATAATACGTTTGATGCTCATTAAAAGTGTATTAATGCTCATCTAACCAAAACCGTGATTTTCACTCAAATTACAAAAATGCCACCGTTTTTTAGTTGTGATATCAGTTTTCTTGTAATAATACGGTACTCATTATTAGACACTTAATACTCATCAAAATTGGACTATTGCTCATTAACAATACACAAATGCTCATTTAGTAAAAACCGTGATTTTTACATTAATTACAAAATTGCCACTGAATTATTTTTCGATTTTTCCATTGGGTCTGTAACTAGACCGGCTGTACGGTGCTCACCGTATAGCCGGTGGTACCATATACGAACTCGGACTGTGGAGGATCACACAAGAAGGGAATTGAAATGAAGTGGTCGACAAGGAGAGAAATAAAAAAAAGGTAAAATGGAAAAGTAAAAAAAGGTAAAATGGAAAAGTAAAAAAGGTGTACACCCGTGTAGAAAAAGCGTGTACAAGCAGTGGCGGAGCCACGCTTTGTAGTGTGGTGTCAATTGAAACCACTGATTTTTTTTCTCCATATATATGTATATAATTTTGTTTAAAAATTTTAAATTGACACCACTGAAAAATAAAAATTCTATGTATAGACATTTATAAATTGACACCACTGACACTAGATCCGGCTCCGCCACTGTGTACAAGTCATTTGACATGTTGGTTGCAAAACTTTTTTGTACACCTTATTTGACATGTTGAATTGTCTGTGCAGTGTGAATTTCTCTTCATTTTGTTGAGATAATTGCTTTTCACACCCATAATTTTTTTTGTTTGAGCCACATAAAAAAACTGTCAGTGCGAAAACTTATCATTTCACAGAACAAAAATAAATAATCTATGCACAGATAACTCAATTGACATGTAAAACGTGTTTGCACAGGAGTAGTCTTGAGATGAGTGACCCCTGAGAAGTTTTCAGGACGCACAAGAGTGAGGACAAAGTGTGTGTTGGTTTTGGAGTGATTACGACTTTATTTTTAATTGGTTTTTATGGTGTGTTGTTGTGGTAATTGCGCATTTGCGGTGCAACCTTTTTATTTTTCTAATTTATTGTAATTTATTAGTTTTTTTTAGAGCGTAATTTATTAGTTTTAGAAGATCTCAAGCTTGAATAAATAAGTCTACAACAAAAGAGCATGAAAGATATCTTACAAGGTCAAAGGAATGTGCAAAGGAGCAAAACAATCATGCAAGAAGTGTGATCCGATGACTTACCCGGCCGGATATGACCTTTACCCGGCCGGGTATAAAGAGTAAAACGAAGTTTCTACGAGAAAGGAGAAATACCCGGTCGGGTATTTCACATACCGGTCAGATATGAAGTGAATTTGGGCAAAAAGACGCGCTGAAGAACACAAATACGTGCAAAATAGAAATGATTAGACAAATACCTGGCCGGGTATCTCAAATACCCAATCGAGTATTTGACCCAACCACACCAAAACACCTATAAATACACCCATTTTCCTTCCCATTTTGATATCCTTTCTTGTATATACTTAAGCTCAATTTAGAATAGTATTTTCTTTATAATTTTTTTAGCATTGTTTAGTCTCCAAATGATCGAGGAGCTAAACTCCATTTCTTGGGGTTTTTTTTAAAGTTGATCGAATGTTAAAGTTGTGAGTTATTTTCTTACTTCTTCCCTTGAATATTAATTCTTCCATTATTCTATCTCTATAATAATGTTGGGGAGTGTTGCTAAGATGACAATTAGTAAACATCTTGACATTCATACATATATTTATTCTATTAGCTAGTATTCAAGAGGAGAGAAGGTCGACATATTATTGTCATAATCATATATTATGAGATTAATTTGCATTGGAAAGGATCTAAGGAGAGATATACAAAAGTACGTACTTTGGATGAACATGTAAAGCTTATAGCCCAATAATTAGTGGTGTATTATAGTGAAATACTACGTACTAAAATGTAAAGTTGTAGTACAATACACCGTATGCACGTCAATTATAATTAGGCCGGGATGCATGTATATAATTTTGTTTAAAAATTTTAAATTGACACCACTGAAAAATAAAAATTCTATGTATAGACATTTATAAATTGACACCACTGACACTAGATCCGGCTCCGCCACTGTGTACAAGTCATTTGACATGTTGGTTGCAAAACTTTTTTGTACACCTTATTTGACATGTTGAATTGTCTGTGCAGTGTGAATTTCTCTTCATTTTGTTGAGATAATTGCTTTTCACACCCATAATTTTTTTTGTTTGAGCCACATAAAAAAACCGTCAGTGCGAAAACTTATCATTTCACAGAACAAAAATAAATAATCTATGCACAGATAACTCAATTGACATGTAAAACGTGTTTGCATAGGAGTAGTCTTGAGATGAGTGACCCCTGAGAAGTTTTCAGGACGCACAAGAGTGAGGACAAAGTGTGTGTTGGTTTTGGAGTGATTACGACTTTATTTTTAATTGGTTTTTATGGTGTGTTGTTGTGGTAATTGCGCATTTGCGGTGCAACCTTTTTATTTTTCTAATTTATTGTAATTTATTAGTTTTTTTTAGAGCGTAATTTATTAGTTTTAGAAGATCTCGAGCTTGAATAAATAAGTCTACAACAAAAGAGCATGAAAGATATCTTACAAGGTCAAAGGAATGTGCAAAGGAGCAAAACAATCATGCAAGAAGTGTGATCCGATGACTTACCCGGCCGGATATGACCTTTACCCGGCCGGGTATAAAGAGTAAAACGAAGTTTCTACGAGAAAGGAGAAATACCCGGTCGGGTATTTCACATACCGGTCAGATATGAAGTGAATTTGGGCAAAAAGACGCGCTGAAGAACACAAATACGTGCAAAATAGAAATGATTAGACAAATACCTGGTCGGGTATCTCAAATACCCAATCGAGTATTTGACCCAACCACACCAAAACACCTATAAATACACCCATTTTCCTTCCCATTTTGATATCCTTTCTTGTATATACTTAAGCTCAATTTAGAATAGTATTTTCTTTATAATTTTTTTAGCATTGTTTAGTCTCCAAATGATCGAGGAGCTAAACTCCATTTCTTGGGGTTTTTTTTAAAGTTGATCGAATGTTAAAGTTGTGAGTTATTTTCTTACTTCTTCCCTTGAATATTAATTCTTCCATTATTCTATCTCTATAATAATGTTGGGGAGTGTTGCTAAGATGACAATTAGTAAACATCTTGACATTCATACATATATTTATTCTATTAGCTAGTATTCAAGAGGAGAGAAGGTCGACATATTATTGTCATAATCATATATTATGAGATTAATTTGCATTGGAAAGGATCTAAGGAGAGATATACAAAAGTACGTACTTTGGATGAACATGTAAAGCTTATAGCCCAATAATTAGTGGTGTATTATAGTGAAATACTACGTACTAAAATGTAAAGTTGTAGTACAATACACCGTATGCACGTCAATTATAATTAGGCCGGGATGCAGTGATCTAGCTAATCGCCCTGTTGTGTAACGCTCTCAAAAAAGGGACGAGTTATTTGTAGATAATCCGTGCAGGAAGAATTACTGGGGTATGTAGTATTAAACACAAAATCACAGTACAATACACAAAATCCTTCTATATCAGCAGGGAGATCACTGGATCTGCATCCACGCGTAGCCATTGGATTTGAATAACAATCCGAGTAACACGAACAAAATGAATCGGCCATGCTTTCATTTGAAGGTAGTCCATGCAAAGTCAGAAATTGCATGGCACAAATATTCACCAGTAGAATTAGAGTCATTTGTATATGTGACAACTTGCATATTGCCCTGCATATCATGTATGTTAACTTAATTAATTATAACCAAAGCCGACCATATTCATCATTGATCGATCTAGACATTATATTTAGACAATGTATGTATGTATAATAACATGCATGCGAAATACAAAGTATATTTTAATCAGTTAATTCTTGATAGCTGATTAAATTCCTCACCGGAAGTGCCATGCGGACAACGCCGTCAGAGGGTCTTCCCGGTGAAATTTTTTGATGATTTTTTAAACATGTTCTTCATCAAGTCTAGTTTATTCCAACCGAATTTCAGATTAAAACTCATCGGGAAGGCAATCAACTAAATTATTGAAGAAAATTGCGCTTATATATGTATACTTTTGCCCAGTGTTTTTGAATAATTTATTTAACATGATGGAATTTGCGTTTTAAGCTGAAATTTGGCGGAAAGGTCCCCTGATGGCATTGTCCGCACGGGTTCCGATCAGGACGTATGTACACCTACTAGACTTGATGTAGAACATTCTAAAAAAAATTATCAAACAATTTCAGCGGAAAGGTCCCCTGATGGCATTGTCCGCACGGGTTCCGATCAGGACATATGTACATGAACTGCCCCCCCCCCCCATATATATGGTCCAATTCCAATAAAAAGTTGTGTTACCATGAGAAATGCGAACATCTCCACTTTTGATAATCTAAAGTGCAATATTCTACATAGATGATTTTTGTCATCCACTTTTCCTCATGCACGGTACACTTTTGCACACATGAAGTCCACTTTTTGAAAAGAAGAAAAACTTAGATATATTTACCAAAATGTTACCATGTTTTAAATCCATTTTAAAACATTTTTGACATATTTATAGCCATTAGATCTTAGATTCGGTGCACCAGATCGATTTATTCCTACTTTTCATGAGAAGAAAACTTTTTATTTGATCCAACACACACACACAAATTTAGTTCAAATGAGAACCATCGATCCTTAACGTGAGAACGCGAGAATTCCAGTTTTAAACAAATGTGATGCACTATAGTGTGTACACGTTTGCACATTTTCGTGTTGACGAAATATTTACGAATCTGCCACCACATTTGTTTGATGTTGACATGTTTTGACTAAAGTTTAAAAATGTAATAGATGAGCCTCATAGTGCACCAAATCGTGTTAAAAGTGCATGGCTCTCACGTTAAGCGTGGTTCTCATTGGAACCGGTCCATATATATATATATATATATATATATATATATATATATATATATATATAGATTTAGGATCAGGTGAGAACTTAATCTTAGGAGAGTAAAAAAGAATAGATCTTAGCCCTTGGATTACACCATTATCCTAATTAATAAAATAGTTCGTACAAGGCTACTCTCGTCAATCTCATTTATTACCATAACAATCCTTCCTATAATTAAGGAGGGTGTGAATTATTCTCTCCATGGTTTCCAATCTATTCCATATGCATCGTTTTTTATGCATGGTTCTCTTCTTCACTTTGGGCTCTCATCTACCTGATTCATTTCCTTAACTGTCTCCTATAATCTTGCATGACCAATCATCCAATTTCTTTTTAATTGCTTCACGGTTCTCATGAGAATTCTTTATCAAATTACTTTTCATCTACTTTATTCAATCAAAATAGTTTCCTTTATCCCATTTAATTCTTCCTTAACTTCACTATTCACAAGTTCGGAAGTTCCGTGCATGTCACCAAGGAAGACATCCATTTTCACATTTTGTTAAAAAAACTTGATAATTTCCTCTCCTTATATTTCAATATATCTGCGGGTTTATGTTTAAATGGATTTTCACATATTATTTATGATCTAGATATTATTAAAAATTGCACTAACACAACTATATATGTTGCACCTTTTTAGTATTATAACTACACCATAATGTCTATGTAAATATTTTTGAAAGTGTGAGAGAATAATGCACTTCTATATATATTTAGATGCACTTGTTTAAAGTGCATTCATTTTGGGTTAAAAGTGTCATGTAAAAATTCAGAAAGAGTGATATTATAATGCACTTTTATGTATATTTAAATGCACATAGTATACTTGTTATAAATTGAGATATAGTAGTGCACTTTGGTACACATGTAGAATGCACAATTTATAATACATGTAAAGTGCATTTTTGTATATCTGTTATAATACATTTATAACAATTTATATCACTTTATAAATTGTGATATAATATTGCACTTTTGTGTACATGTAAATGCTCATGGTAGAGTGCATTTCATTTTGTAAATAGTGCTAATGTACAAATTTAGAAAATAATAATATAATAGTGCACTTTTGTATACACTAAAAATCGAATGAAATTGCATTGGTGAATGCACAAAGTGCAAGAAGGTATTATAGAAAGTGCAATTTAATAACATAAACGTGCAGTTTACAAAAGTTTACATTTTTTATGACAGGTGTCGATTATTATTTAAATTACTGTTCGTATAGTAGAAAAACTCCAAAATTTTATCTAAGATAATGTTGTATAGATTTTTGAATAAAAGTGCACTTATTATATGCTAGAGTTAAAATCTACTCCGTATATATGAATGAAAAATGAAAAAAAAAATATGAAAAGTAATTTAATTATTCAAATGATAGGTATCATGGAAATAATTTTCCCAACTATGAGGAAACTTTCAAAGATACGTGTTTAGCCTAGCTATTTAAAATCCTAGATTTTAGGAGAAGTTTGTGTTTAGCCGTTTAAAATTGTTAAGCGAATCAGATTTTTAAGGAAAGATATCCAATCGTCCGATTTAATAATGATACCTTTTACACTTTTGTCCTTATCATTAATTCCGTTTCTTTTGTCATTAAAACTGCATGCAAAGTTCCATCTAATTACTACATCGCTACCTCTGTTTGTATTAAATCTCTATCGTCGATCGAGTATATTAGATGGTTAAATTTTGTCCTTTTTTACTCTCCTAAGAGGGTGTTCTCACAGGAACTAACCCCTATATATACACACACACACACACACACACACACACACACACACACACACACACACACACACACACACACACACACACACACACACACACACAAGAATGATCAGGTCCCCACGTTCGGACAGGACCCTCCGTCCGAACATCCTCATTTGGGGTCCTTCCCGGTGGAATTTTTTGATGAAATTTTTTGAGCATGTTCCTAATCAAGTCTAGTTTGTCCATACCAAATTTCAGCTCAAAATTCGATCGGGAAGGCATTTAAATATTTTTTTGAAGTTGACTGCGTTTTTATATGTATATGTTGACGGAGTCAACTTCAAAAAATGATTTGAATGCCTCCCCGATCGAATTTTGAGCTGAAATTTGGTATGCACAAACTAGACTTGATGAGGAACATGCTAAAAAAATTTCATCAAAAAATTCCACCGGGAAGGGCCCCAAATGTCCATGTTCGGACGGTGTTCGGACCAGGAATGTTCGGACCTGAACATTCCTCTCTATATACATATCAAATACACACCGCACAATGTACAACCTGAGCTCGTGACCTAATATTGCCATGGAAGAAGAAAGACCTTGTCTTTATATGTACTATGCAATGCACAATAATGTTTTTTAATCTGCACACTAAAATTCAATTTATATTATACTCCGTATATATTTATACATACATACATATACATATGTGTGTATGTGTGATGGCATGCATGCATATTTTTTGCGTAACGCATGATTTATTTCATTGCTCAATAAATATCATAAGTTTCAATAACATACAAAATTGAATAGTATTTAATACTGTACGTTTCTTCATTTGCTTGCATTGGAGAGCAATTACTATATACAAATAATTATATATTAGAAAAATAAAGAATGCTTATAAAATAATAAATGTTATAAACAATATGTTTTGTAGTTAACAAAAGCACTAGCTATCAAGTGTTGAAACCACTGTCAAACACTTTGCACCGCTATAGATATCTATTTATATATAAGAAAAGAAATAGCTCATCTAATTACAATTATACACTCAAAAGCTCATACGTGTCCATCTTACCAAATTTCTCTCCATTGCTATGCTACTGCCACGTGGATTCATTCAATTCAATTCATTCATTCACACACATAAAATAGAATCATTAATTATTACGCCGAGCAAAACAGCGAAGTAGATTACATTAAGTCGGTTTTCTTAAATCTAAAAAATCAAATCTATCATCATACCAGTAAAGCATGATTTCACAAGTCTGTAATTTATGCTTTCCAATTCTAAAAAACTCAACCGCCACAACCACAAATCCCAAATTCTATTTTACTCAATTTGAAGGTTTTCTTTTCTTTTACTTTATTTTTCTTAGTACTCAATTTAATGCAAATATGAAAACAGTATTTCTTCTGAGAGGATAAAAATAAAACCCTATTATAAACTTATGAGTAAAAAGAGTAATTTTTAAAAAAATTATCATTACCATATATAGGGTTGTAAATGAATCAAATAATTTGTGCTCGATTTGCGATTCGAATTCGTATAAGATGATTCGAATTCGGAAGATTCAAATACAAATACAAATAAGAATATTAAATTTGATTCGAGTTGTTATCAAATACAAATAAGAATATCAGTGTATTCGATTTGAATATTAATCAAATATATTCAATTAATAATAACAGTAATATTAATATCAATATTAATAGATAGTACCCGAAATAGGATTAAAAAAGTTTGCAAATGCCTAAATAGGACTTCCATGTTTTTATTCCCAAAATAGGATTAATTACTGTCATGTTTTGGCAGTACCAGACTTCAAACATGACAGTATTTTCCAAATTTGGCAGTAATTAGTCCTATTTTGGGAATAAAAATATGGCAGCCCTATTTTGGAATTTTCAAATTTTCTTAGTCCTATTTCGGGGACTTTCCCTATTATTAATAATAATAGTTATAACACTATAATAACTTTTAAAAGATAGCAATACCCTCAATGCGTACAGATTCCAAGCCCATTTGTAATAAATCAGAATATAAATGCGAATACAAATCATTTTTTTTTTTTGGTTCAATTGCCTTGCAAATACAATACAAATAATTATGTATTTGATTTGAAGAATAAAACTAGAGTTTTTTGACTTTGATAAATACAGTTATCAACTTATTTCACACATTATAAGTATAATTTCTACTATGTGTGTGTTAGTATTTACTCCAAAAAGTTTGAAATAGATTTATATTTATTAATCATAAACTTAATTCATGTTAGTATATTGTGCAACATCTAAAAATGCATTGATTCATTAAATTTAAATTCTAAAAACACATATTAAGTCACAACATGCATTTACAACATAAAAAAATACGGAGTATAAGAAAAGTTATTTTAAAGTGATATTTGACTAATATTTAACATATGCTCAAATCGATTCGATACCTATATATGATTTTGTTAACTATTCGTATTGTTAAACAAATACAAATACAAATCAAAATTAATGTTCGTTCCATATTTGAATTCGAATTCGAATTCATATTCGAAAAAATTAAACAAATACAAATACAAAATCTCATTATTCAACTCGATTCAGTTCGTTTACAACCCTAACCATATATTACTACTTCACGAGACTACGATTTGTTTTTCATATTTAAAAAAAAAATCAGCTGCTACAATTTAGAGCGCACGAGATCAAAATTCTCATAATTCAGCGCTCGAGATCAAAGTTTGTTTTATATTATATGACATCTTGGTATATGAGATTGTTAGCTACCAATTGTTTCATTTCTAATAGGGAAATTCGCCCTTTTAGTCACTCAAATAGTGCCTATATTGAAATATAGTCCCCTTATTTTTAAATACACACATACGTGAATTTGGTTATTATTGTGGACTTCCAATTCTGTACACACAAACGAGATAGACTTGCAAAAGACTTTCAGATGATTCCTAATCTAGCAATTGGAAGAATATTTGAACAAAAAATGTACATTTCTTACTATGTAACTGACCATGATCGAAAGAAGCACTATTTTAAATTATCAAATAGAATAAGAAGCCAGAAGATCAAACTGAATTTAGAAAAAATGAAAATAAACTTACAACTTAAAAGTTCACACTATTCATAAGAAGTTATAAAAATAGCAGAAGTTCTTGCAATTGAAAAGATATACTTCAGGGATGAACAAAAAATTCAAAGCACTAACAATCTAACGGTAGAAAGTACATTAAAATGGAATTATATAATTAAGTACTCCGTAATAAATATGTAGAAGACATTGAAATAAAATTGTTATTGTGTACGTGAATCATTACACATTTGTGCAAGAAGTGAGATAATTTTCTCTCATATATAGTGTTTTTGATATAAGATCAACCGGTTAACAATTAGGAAGGATAATTTTCTCTCATAAGAAAGGAGTTCTTTTAAGTACAAAATAAGTCGGCTAACCATTGAGCGGCTAAATTTTCTCTCTAATATGTAATGCTTTTAGGTATAAGATAACCAAAAATTGAGTGACAATTTTCTCTCTTATATGTAGTGGTTTTAGGTATAAGAGGATAAGAATTTACGTATAAGAAGATTAGGTCATAAGGCACACGACTACCAATTGAATGAGAGATTTTTTTTATCATATAATGTTTTTGGGTATAAGATAAGTTGCCTAACAATTGAGCGGGAAAATTTTCTCTCTGATATGTAATGCTTTTAGATATTATAAGATAGAAGATAAACATGTTATCAATTGAGCGGAAGAACTCTCTCTCTCTCTCTCTCTCATAAGTAGTTCTTTTAAGTATAAGATAAGTTGGCTAACAGTTGTGAGGAAGATTTTTCCCACTCACGTGTAATGTTTTTAGGTATAATAAGGTAAACCGACTAACAATTGAGCGGAAGAACTTTAGGTATTAGAAGATAAATTTGCTAATAGTTGAGCGGAGAAATTGAGGGTGGTGATATTTTCTCTCATATGTAGTGAACTTAGGTATTAGAAGATAAATTTCCTAACAATTGAGAGGGAGAGTTTTCTCTCTCATAGACACTGTTTTTCAGTATAAGGTAAGATAAACTGGATAACAATTGAGCGGAAGAGTTTTTTTTTTATATATCATATGTGTAATGCTTTTAGATATAAGATTTTAGATACAAAAAACATCAAGCCATAAGTCGTTTCTCTCTCATAAGTAGTGATTTTAGGTATAACATAATCCAGTTAACCATTGAGAGGGAAAATTGTCTCAATTATATCTCTCATATGTAGTGCTTCTAGGTATTATAAGGTAGAAGATAATCTTGCTAACTATTGTGCGGAAGAACTTTATCTCTCATATATAATGCTTTTAGGCATAAGGTAAGTCAGTTAACAATTGAGCGAGAGAATTCTCTCTCTCATATTTCTTTTTACTCCAGGGGGGTCTGGGGGAGGAGGGCTTGGGGGGCCTGGAGTAATCAGGGCTGAAACTCACTCTATTGAGTTTCAAACCTGTGTGCCTGGAGTTCGAAACCCCTCACTAGGCACGGTAACCTCACAACCAGCTGAGCTGAAATGCTTGGTTAATTTTCTCTCTCATATATATAGTGCTTTTTGGTATTAGAAGATAAGCTTGCTAACAATTGAGCAGAGAAATTCAGCGAAAAATTTCTCTCTCTCATATGTAGTGATTTTAGGTGTTAGAAGATAAATTTGCTAATAATTAAGCGGGATAACTTTCTTATGCAGTTTTGAAGTTTTAGATAAGATGGCTAAGAATGGGACGTGATAATTTTCTGTTATATGTAGTTCTTTTTTAGTATAAGATAATCCGACTAATAATTGAGAGGGAAATTATTTCTCTCATATGTAGTGCTTTTAGGTATATAAGAAGAAGATAAGCCGCTAACAATTGAGCGGGAGAACTTTCTATCTCATATGTAGTGCTTTTAGGTATTACTGAGTAGAATATAAGCTTGCTAGCAATTGATCGGGTGAATTCTCATATATGTAGTTTTTTAAGTATAAGATAAGCTTGCTAACAATTAAGTAAAAATATATGCATCAACTGAGCTTTCCCGTGCGTATGCACGGGTACTATACTAGTCCATGTATATAACATTCAATGCAACTATGGTTGGTTGGTTGTTGATAACCGGCTATCGCGATGTTGTAATAAAAAAAAGTTGAGTCCTTCTGAATGAAAAAAGTTTATTCCCAAGTATAAGAATCGCGCACGAAGAGTGACTTTAAGTTCAGTAACAAGTTAGCGCAAAATTATAGGAAGCTTTCTTAATTAAAAGATTATTGATTGTTTAAACTATATTTGTATGGAAAGAAAAAGTAATTTAAATTGTGTATTATTATTGATGACTCTAAAATAAACTAATAATAAATCTTACTTTAACATCATAAATGTACTAGAGTTATTTTAAAAAAATGTACTAGAGTTAGAAACAATAAGTGCTGTTAAAATATGAAAAATGATCAAAGAATGACAATGAATTGAACCATAAGATATGGATATTTTTTGCCCTTCTAACTAAGAGTTTTAATAACGAAATGTTGGACTAGCAATTTCTTTTCTTATTAAAAAGAATTAAATTATTTTCATTTAGTTGTCTTCAATTATATTCTAATCTCATACACAATACA